GGATATCATACCTTAGCTGGCTTAGTGCTTCGCCCCAGCATGCGTGGGTGGGCAATAGCACCTTTGGTTTTCAGCTGGGTGAATGGTTGTTGAGGACTTGCCGTGGGGAATTGCTGTGAGCTTGAGAGTACAGTGCTGTAAACAAATACGACGGGCTGCAATGATGATGACGGTCAACCTCACCAAGGTGCTACTACACAAAGAAAAGGAAGAGAAATAAATAATATATCGTACTGTTTGCACAGAAGTGCAAATGTCCTAGATTAACTAACCCAACATGAGACTATCACAGTCTTGGTCTACTTGGACCCTTAACACTTTCACCGAAATCCCGTCACCCCTTCAAGGCCTTCACCAACCCTACGGTATCAAGACCCTCGCCAGGCGGTATATCTGTGCCACTCATATCCATCACTCGTAGCTAGGAGGCACACTAGCACGGTATTCACAACCACCAGCTATCGAATTCCTCCAGCAGAAATCGTGGCAAGCATGATCTCCAGTGTTCAAGTGCCCATACTGCATACAATCAACGCATAGCACAATCTACAGGCATCCTGACACTACCGACCCTGTCTCGCGAAAAAAACAAAAAAACAAAAAACAAAACAGGGGCATCTAGCTTACGATATCTTCCTCAACAACCTGGATTAATATCGCATCATACTTCGAGAGCGTTATTCTTTAGAAAAACTCTAGGCCGAATGGGCTAAAACCTCCCCACTCACCCTAGCTACACGCTACAACTGCGGATAGAGGAATATGGGACGGTGAACTATATAGAGTATTTTCTTTTTTTTCTTTCGACATTGCGGTGATTTGATAGTGTTTTCCTTCAGACGCACTTTTGAGGTTGATGTGAGGTGACGCTCGCAGGGTAAGTCCCGGGAGCCGTAGAGTGTTATAGTGACCGGGGTTTTAGCGGAGCTGGCGAGCGTTCACTGGGGGAGGGGTTTGTCTTTTTGGCGATGGGTATCCGGAAACGGGGGGTTCTCGAATCTGTATGGGCGCTCTGGTGCGCAAGGAATTTTTTTCTTTTCTTTTCCCATAATATTATTATATTTTGCTTTGTCCCTGTTTCCGGCCACTTGTCGCCTGGGACAAGTAGCTTAGGGCCCTGGTAAACATGTTCCCTCCATTCCGTCTGCGTTATATTACAAATCCAGCGGTTCGCAGCGCAATGCCGACCGTCCAGGTACCGGGTCCTCGATTCGATGGATATCCTAATTTGAACTATCGCCGTGGTTGGAGGGGGACCAATGCTCCGGATCGTCTGGTTCGGTGGTGTTGGTATAGTAAATTTGATTGAACGTAGAGTACTGTACGGAGCCAAAAACCCACTGACCCCAACATTGTCTGCTAATCCGGGCCCCAACTGGTGTTCGAAAAATAGGGTACTGTGCCGGAATGTCATTTTGCGCCGAGATTTTTGGTGCCAGGTAACTATATCTGTTCTCTGAGATCCTAGGCCGGGCTCGCTGCGCGATAAGTAGCTATAGTATAAGTATGATGGATATATTTCCTAGTGCTATGGTGCCCTCATCTTCCCCCTCGATCCTTTGCTTTTACCTTCCAGAGGCTTCTTTAGATATTTTTGATAAGGGTTAACTTACTGGCCCGGCCGACCGCATCTGGTAAGTTTACCATACGTCACCGTACAGTAGTACCATACCGTGCGCTATGTAAACTTACAGTTGGGACCCGGGGATCCACCGGGTGACGGTCCATGAATACCGACCAAAAACCCACTCCTAATTATTATAAGGCCCCGCTCAGGATCCGCACTATCACGGCTTCGATGATATACACAAACTTATGGGAAAGATCCCGTACCAAAGCTTTGTTGGGGGAAAGAGAAAAAACCCCCCCCCCAAAAAAAAAAAAAGTCATTCATAAATACCCTAAAGTTAATTGGCTCATCGTCAAATCAGTAGCCCGGGTAGCCGTTTTAGAGCAACCTGGGAAGGGGAAACGAACTTATCGGACAATCGATTACCGATAGCTTCGTTATTATTATTACTTTTGTTCCCCCCCCCCTCCCCACCCCACCTTCTTCTAGCCTCGCCCATTTTTCCCACCTGACTTGTATTTATCGATATTGGATCTGCATGGTGCGCCGTTCGAACGGTATTCGTGCAGGGTAGGGGAAGGAATGGAATCAGTTCCACGAATTTATGATAGAAGCGGTCTAGATCGGTCGAGAAGGTAATATGTGCCTTTGGATTTACCCGCTCACCCGAACATGGCACTGTACTGTACTGTACATGTTTTATGGGCTTTCCAACTTTTTTTTGTATCTTGGCTTTAGCGCAAGGCAAGAAAAAGAAAAAAGAAAAAAAGACACCCTGAGTAAATACATCTGTGCCAACTTCGAATGCAGGCCCTTTTTTTGTCCCTCCATCCTTTCCACTCCATTCCTCGCAGGAGCTTCCCGGAGAGACCGTTCCTAGAAAGAAAGAAAAAAAGAGAAAAAAAAATATACATAGCGCCGGAAGTCAATACAGTACAGTACACCTTCCACCCATAACACCCTTTTCCCATACATAATGTTACCGGTAAAAAAAAAGCCTTCGTAAAATAGATAATAATAGATAATGGTAGGGATATAAGTAAAGCTTGAGGGGAAAAAGAAGAAGGAATAGCTCGGTATAAAGTTAGAGCGCGACAAGCTGGGAGAAGAGAAAATAGAGCGAGGAGAAGGTGGGGAAAAAATTCACTAACGCCACATAAATTCCAATAATGCCAAAGGAAAAAAGAGAGATAGAAAGACAAGGTTTAGAAGCACGAAAGTTAGTAGTGTTCCTCTAGCCCTTTATCTAGAATACCCCGATCTGTGATCACTACAATGTGCTTTTGCATCGACTTTCGCTTCGGGTATGGTGCTTCGAAGATTTCGTTGATTTCTTCAAGGGTTCTGCCCTTTGTTTCAACAAAGCTGGTAGACCATTAGCAATGATTTCCCTTCATCCTTACTAGAGAAGAAGGGGGGAGGAGGACGATGAAATGATGACTCACAAGAAGTAAATAAACGTAACCTCAAACACGTCCCAAGCGATATATACAAAGTAGAACCTCCACTTGATTCTCTCCCAGACCGTCGGGATGGCATAAGTATTGAAGAATGCCGCGACGTTGACAAACAGGTTGTACATGCCCATTCCCTTAGCACGTGTCTCGTATGCCAGACACTCGACCGGGTAGAGCGCCTGCAGCGGGGTGTAGGAGAAGGAGTACGTGATGCCAAAGATGTAGATGAAGGCGATGGCGGAACGGGAGCCATACGTGTTATCGTTCTCCTCATCCCCGTAGAGTGCGGTCAGCGTGGTGATGACTGTCCACCACACGACGAACAGGGATGTGCCGATCAGAAGGACTACTCGCCGGCCCAGTCGGTCTACAAAGCGGGCCCCAATTGTGGCCATCACGAAGGAGATCACGTTCAGAATTGCGTTGTAAAGTAGTTGCGTACGCCCGTCCTTGACTCCGATTTGGTCGAGGAGGACGGGCATGAAGTATGATACGGCGCCGTTGCCGGACCACTGGGTTTTTTGGCACCGGTTGGTTAGTCCTTTGTTTTGAAGTGTTGAGGGGGAGGGGAGCAATTGGTAGTTACCTGGCTGAAGAAGGCCATTCCAACCACGCAGGAAAGCCTCCACCATGCTGATTTGGAGTTGAAAAGATCCTTGTAATCCCACCACCTCTTGTCGGAACCTTCTGTTGCAATCTCTTCGATCATTTCTCTGTATGTTAGGAGCACAATTGGGGAGTTTCGGTCTCCCTCTCCGTGATATCGGGCCATTACTCGGATTGCCTCCTCATGGCGGTCGTTCGAGACGAGCTGCCGTAAACGTCAATTATCTTCTCTTCCCTAGAATATGAAATGGGATGCGGCTTACCCATCGCGGGGTTTCTGGGCAAAAGAGGCAACCTAACATTACTGTACCAGCTGCGATGGACTGGAACCAGAGGGGCAAGCGCCATGAGAGGTCGGATTCGATATGTTGAGTTCCGTAGAGAGTCCAAGTTGCAGGAATCTGTAACGTATCAACATTGCTTCCCAATGGTAACTCAACCGCCGTAGATGCGGATGGTAAGGGATTCCAAGCTCACCCCTCCGACAAACCAAAAGGTGTTGTAAAGACCCGTCAGCGTCCCTCTCCACGCGGGGTGAGCCATCTCTGCAACGTAGGAAGGCCCCGCAGTTGCGCATGTCGCAACACCGAACCCGAGAATAAATCTTCCTCCAGCGAACGCAAGATGGGAAGTGGAAGGAGCCTGCACGCAGGTACCCGCGATGATGATACTCGCGCCAATAAACATTCCCCATCTCCGTCCCCACCAATCGGTAAATGGACCACAGAAGAAGGATCCAATGATATTCCCAATGGTGTAGATCGAGAAAACTAATCCTGTCTCTGACCCAACAGTTTTCATCTTGAAGTAACTGTATCAAAATTCCCGTATGTTAGCCTTGTGAAATCTAGAGAGGAAAAGAAACATGACAAAAGCAGGTGGGAAGAAGACTATATCTAGAAGAAAAATAGACTAACCTCTGGTAATACTTCATGGCGTTTATTCCTCCCATCAACGATCCGTCGTATCCATTTATGCACGAATTCAGAAAGGCAATGAAGAGGAAGAAGTAGAGTTTGCACATGGTCTTTGTCCAGGGACTCGGCTTCTGTGCTATCAAAGCATCCGAAAACCCAACGTGAGCTACCGTGGTGATATGCTGTTGTTCCGCCTGTGCTGGCCCATCTATCAGGGTTGAGGTTTGATTCCTGTGATGTGCGCTCTCTAGATGACATGATTCCTCCCTCTTATGAGATGGTGCTGGCGGTCCAAAAGTTTAGCTAGCTTGCAGCCGTGCTA